GGAAGGAAGGAAGGAAGGAAGGAAGGAAGGAAGGAAGGAAGGAAGGGGCGGGCTAAGGGTGCCTCATACTTGAGGCCCTGGGTTGTATCTCAGGATGTGAGAGGGAGGAGGACACGGGTTGGGGGGGAACGGGACAGGGGACAAAGTTGGGAAACTGAGTAAGGCAAAAAGAATGAAACATGCTCCAGCAGGAGGGTCAGGTGAGGAATATTCTGAGCCTATTTGTACTGAAATAAGCTGACTTCATAAGAAGCATAAAATGTACCGCAGAGCACATTGGACAGCTGGGCCTAGGGTACTGCTTTATGGTAGAATTCTCCCAATGTTGCCGGCTTGCTTGTGATTTGAGTTGAGCTCTGAAACCTATCATCAGCTGGGAGCTAATGGTTCATGTCTATATAATCTTAGCTACTGGGCTGGGAAGGTGGCTCAGTGGTAGAGTGCTTGCCTTGCATGCCCGAGGCCCTGAGTTCGATTCCTCAGCACCACATAAGCACCACATAAGGAAAGTCATGAGACTCTTAACTCCAATTAACCAGCAAAAGATGTAAGTGGATCTGTGGCTCAAGTAGTAAGGGATGGCAGAAGAAAGAAAAAGGCAAAGGAGGAGGAGGAGGAGGAAGAGGAGGAGGAGAAAGAGAAGGAGGAGGAGGAGAAAGAGGAGGAAGAAGAAAAAGAGAAGAAGGAGGAGGAGGAGGAGGAAGAGAAAGTGGAGGGGGAGAAGGAGAAAAAAGAGGAGCTTCTTCTCTTTATCCTTATTTTCAAGAGATTAACACAGGCTATGACAGGGGGCTTGCTGGCCCAGAAGAACATGGATGCAGATGAGCTGGCCCCAGGTGCCCATTTCTGTGATTTGTTTTTTATTTTTTACCCCTCCAGAAATGTGATCTTGCTCCAAGCAAGGAAAGAAACCCCACCAAGGAGGAATGGAAGCAAGGAGCTCTTGACCAGGAAACACAATCCCAAGAGCAAAGCACACAGCTCGGGCTCACCTGTGTGGGTGCGGACATGCCTCTTCAGGTCAAAGGTGTCATTGAAGCCCTTGCCGCAGAAGGTGCACAAGTGCCTCTTCACCTGGTTGTGGCATTTGAGGTGCCGGTTGAGCATGCGCTGTAAGCGGAAGTTCTTGCCACACAGTTCACAGCTGTGAATCACCGAGTCCCCACAAGTGCCTGTAGTGAACTGGAAGCAGAAAAGAACAGTGAGGTTCCAGGAGACTGACTTGGAGACCCGCTTTCCTATGTCTCTAGGTTTGGCCTGGTTATGACTTCGTTTTTTGTTTTTTTTTGGGGGGGGGTTCCGGTTGTGGGGTCTGAACTCTGGGCCTGGGCGCTGTCCCTCAGCTCTTCAGCTCAAGGCTAGAGCTCTACCACTTGAGCCACAATGCCACTTCCGGCTTTTTTCTTTTTGCTTATGTGGTGCTGAGGAATCGAACCCAGGGCCTCAGGCATGCAAGGCAAGTGCTCTACCACTGAGCCACCTTCCCAGCCCCCTGGTTATGACTTCTGGGCCCTCCCTATTGGCATTGGGAAAAGGTTAGGAAACACTAGGGCAGGTGTTTCTGCTATTTATGGCCTGCTCTGATTTCTAGCTGCTCACACAAGGTGTAAGAAGACAGAGCCATATAACTCTTCCTTCCTTCCTTCTTTCCTTCCTTCCTTTCTTTCCTTCTTTCTTTCTTTTGTCAGTCATGGGGCTTGAACTCTGGGCCTGAGCACTGTCTCTCAGCTCTTCAGTTCAAGGCTAGCCCTCTACCACTTGAGCCACAGCGCCACTTCCAATTTTCTGGTAGTTAATTGGAGATAAGAATTTCGCAGCCGTTCCTGCCCAGGCTGGCTTTGAACCGCGATCCTCAGATCTCAGCCTCCTGAGTAGCTAGGATTCCAGGTGTGAGCCACGGGTGCACAGTAATCTAACATTTTAAATATCAAATCAGATTCTTTGGAAGATGGATCTGAACCAGGTGTAGGGGTACGTGCCTATAATCTCAGAATTTAGGAGCCTGAGGCAGGAAGATCCTAGGCTATATAGTGAGACTATTTCAAAGATCTAAAATGACTAGACAAACTGCTCTGCCAGAATTCTTTCTGTGGCTGGGGATGTAGTTCAGGGGTACAATGCTTGTTTAGCATGCTCAAGGCTCTGGGCTCCACCCTTACCACCACAGAACACAGAAACAACGAAAACATTAAACAAACAAAACAAAACAAAACCCCAAACAATGGCTCACACTTATAATTCCACCTATTGAAGAGGGGAAAAAAAGGAGGATCCACAGTTTGAGGCCAACCCAAGTTATCCAGACCCCATTTTAGCCGGGTGCCTGTGGTTTGTGCCTCTAATCCTTGCTATTTAGGAGGCTGAGGTGATGTGAGGATTGAGGTTCAAAGCCAGCAGCCAGAGCTTCATGCATGTTAGCTAGCCACTAAGCCACATTCCCAGCCCCAAAGGGAGATTCTTATCTCCAAAGGGGAAAAAAAAAAGGCTGGAAGCTAAAAACTTACTTTCCAAATAAATATCATTAGCATAAGAAGCCAATACTTTCCAAGCTCCACACTCTCCTAGCCTCAAATACCCTCCTCCATCCACCCACCCAGGCCATTGCTTCCCCTAAGGCCCAAATTTTCTCCAAATAAAGCCACCTGTAGGGGCTGGGAAGGTGGCTCGGTGGTAGAGTGCTTGCCTTGCATGCATGAGGCCCGGGGATTCAATTTCTTAGCACCACATAAGCAGAAAAAGCCAGAAGTGGCCTATGGCTCAAGTGGTAGAGCGCTAGCCTCAAGCTGAAGAGCTGAGGGACAGCGCCTGGGCCCAGAGTTCAGACCCTACAAACGACACACACACAAAAGCCACCTGTAACTGTTCACACACAAACCACACCTCTTCCATCAGACTATAGTGTCCCCATGCCCCCCCCCCAGGGGTTGTTAGGATGCTAGCCCTGATCAGAAGGTCTCAGTACAGACTTTTAAGCAGATCTATGCTCTCTTGTACTTGAGAAGTGAAGGTAGGCTGGGGGTGGGCTCAGTGAGAGCGTAACAGAGTTGACTCCCAGGAGACAGAAGAAACGGGGAAGGAAGAAGAGAGGCCAATTCTGCAATATTTCTAGGCTTTCTTTCCCAGTATAGCCTGCATGACACAGGAAATACACATCTGATTCCTATAAGGATGGCTCACGAACCAGAGGACCCGTTCTTCCTTTCCAGGTCACATATAACACATCTTTATTAAGTTTATGATGTTTAACTTCTACAAGCCAGTTAACCAATAACTTTTTTTTTTTTACTCAGCTCAACAATAATAGACCAAAACCACATCTTAAACCAAAACTCAGATCAAAGTTGTATCTTAGTCATGTTCATTATAAAATGAACATGGAGCCAGGTGCTGGTAGTTCAAACCTATAATCCTAGCTACTTGGTCTGAGGAGAGAGGGAAGGTTGCAGTTTGAGGCTGGCATGGACAGAAAGTTCACCAGACCATCTCAATCAATAGCAAAGTAGCACACGTCTGTCATCCCATATAAGCAGGAGGCAAGTCCATCTCAACAGAAAAGGCTAGCTTTGAGATGGGCACTAGCAGCTCACACCTGTAATCCAGCTACTCAGGAGACTAAGATCTGAGGATTGTAGTTCAAAGCCAGCCCAGGCAAGAAAAGATTGTGAGACTCAGATCTCTAGTTAACCACCAGAAAACCAGAAGTGGCACTGTGGCTCAAAGTGGTAGAGTGTTAGCCTTGAGAAAAAAAAAAAAAAAAAGCTCAGGGATAGCATCTAGGCCGTGAGTTCAAGTCTTATGACAGGAAGAAGGAAGGAAGGAAGCCAGGCAGGCAGGCAGGCAGAGAGGAAGGGAGGAAAGGAGGAAAGGAGGGAGGGAAGAAAGGAGGAAAGGAGGGAGGGAGGACAAGCTAGCTTGGCATGTTGGTATGTCCATGTCAGTAAATTTACATTTACTGTAGAAAATATACATAGGAGAATCATGGTCTAGGTAAGCCTAGGCAAAAAGTAAGATAAAAAATAACCAGGGGTTGGGATGGTGGCTCAGTGGTAGAGCGCTTGCCTTGCATGCATGAGGCACTAACTAGGTTCGATTCCTCAGCACCACACAAGCAGAAAAAAAAAAAAAGCCAGAAGTGGCACTGTGGCTCAAGTGGTAGAGCGCTAGCGTTGAGCTGAAGAGCTGAGGGACAGCACCCAGGCCCAGAGTTCAGGCCCATGACCGGACCCAAAAAAAAAAAAAAAAAAAACCGGGCACCAGTGGTTCACGCCTATAATCCTAGCTATTCAGGAGGCTGATATCTTAGTATCACAGTTCAAGGTCCAGGCAGGAAAGTTAAAACTGGAATTGGTGCTGTGGTTCAAGGGTAGAGTGCTTGCCTTGAGCTGAAGAGCTGAAGGATAGTGCCCAGGTCCAGAGTTCAAGACCCACAACTGACAAAATAATAATAATAATAATAACCAGAACAAAAAGGGCTAGAGTTGTGGTTTAAGTAATAGAGTATCAGCCTAGCAAATACAAGACTTGAGTTTAAACCCAGCACTACACACACACACACACACACACACAGATTGTGGGAAGACTAAATAATAACCTAATCCTGGTGATTTGTGTGATATGAAATTGTATTTAACATGTATCTCCATGTGACAATTTTCCCTCATATAAAAATATTTAATAGTGCTATATGATCTCTCCTGCAGTATAAGGAACTAGGAGCAAAACCTATTTTCCATCTTCTTCAATTCAGTACATCCTGCTCTACCACTTAGGATCTGAGGATGTCAACAAGTTATTTGCCATCTCTAAGCCTGAATTTCATCACCTCCAAAATGTAGATAATGATATTTGCTTCTTGGATATAAATTAAAGAGTTAAAGAAGAAAACCTGGCACTCAAGAAATACTATTACAGTCAAGTCGGCTCCAAAATTCTGTGATCCTAAATACAAGGTAATTAGCAAAGACCTTATTGTTTCTCGATTCGCTTTTTGGACCTTTCTCTCTCTGATGGAACTAAAAGAGAATGGACCTTTTATGTGAGCCACTAGGTCCTGTTCTTTACCTGTAACTCTGAAAATTCATAACTTCTAGCAACAAGCATCTGCCCATTTCCCTGAACAGTGAAATCTGATCCACACTGATGTAACAACATGCAGGCTTTATTCCATGTGGTGCCAATGTTCATGTGTTTTGATGCAGGAATTATTAATGCATTTAATTATAGGTACTGCTCCAGACATGCCAGAGGCAGTATTTATACCATAGTACCTTCTGAAAAAGTTTAATAGGCTCACCCTTAGTTCAAAATTAACACTTTGCTAAAGGCTTATTAATGAAATGGTGTAACCACCACAAGGGTGGTAGAGGACATCTGTTGGGAAATTAGTTCAGGGCAGGAAAGATGAAGAGTGATGTGTAACTCCTCAAGGCCCAGGCTTGGCATTTTTCTGCTGTCTTGTTCTCTGTAGAAACTCAGCTTTCATTTTTAAAAACAAGCAAAATTCCCCCCAAAGTTCTCTGATACACAGGCTTCTGCAGCAAACACAAAGACAAAACAAAATAAAAGAATCATGGTATCTAGGCAGCTGAAAATGTCAGGAGCATCTAGACCAGCAGGGATCTCAGCTGCTCTGTGACCAACTTCCAAGTTCACCTGTCAAACTTCTTTTTTTTTGGGGGGGGGGGGTCCGGTCGTGGGGCCTGAACTCTGGGCCTGGGCACTGTCCCTCAGCTCTTCAGCTCAAGGCTAGCGCTCTACCACTTGAGCCACAGTGCCACTTCTGGCTTTTTTCTTTTTTGCTTATGTGGTGCTGAGGAATCGAACCCAGGGCCTCAGGAATGCAAGGCAAGTGCTCTACCACTGAGCCCACCTTCCCAGCCCCATCACCTGTCAAACTTCTAAAAGAAAGGCAGAAGCTGGGAATGTGGCTTAGTGGTAGAGTGCTTGCCTTGCTTACATGAAGCCCTGGGTTCAATTCCTTAGCACCACATAAACAGAAAGAGCCTGAAGTAGCTCTGTGGCTCAAGTGGTAGATTGCTAGTTTTGAGCAAAAGAAGCCCAGGGACAATTCCCAGGCCCTGAATTCAAGCCCCAGGACTGGCAAAAAAAAAAAAAAGGAGGAAGAGGAGGAGAAGGAAGAAAAGAAGGAGGAGGAGGAGGAGGAGGAGGAGGAGGAGGAGGAG